CTAAATAAATCCTGGTCTAGGATGAAAGCGACGCGCTGCAAAGCTCGTTTGTTAGTAAACCATAATCGACTTCGTAAGTCGCGAGGGAAGGGATTGCTGTACCCTTCTCGCGATAAAAATACCTCAGGCATGAACCGCAGGAGGGGGTCCAACCCCCCCCTCCTATGTGACCCCGGTTGGGTCGTCTAGCTAGTAGAAGTGGAGGATAGGGGCCAGAGGAGCAGACGACAGAGTCCAATGATGGGAGACAAACAAAACAAAACAAAAATACGGTTTAATGTGAAGACAAACAACAACAACAACAAGTGTCTCCCGAAGCGGCGGACCGCTTGTGTGTGGTTGAGATAAAGCTTGACCTTCCGCTTGGTGAGCGATCTATAGCGTTAGGTTCTACGTTTTTCTGCTGAGGTTTGGCATTGGTGCTTGTGGCTTTAGCCGCGCCGCGGTGCTGAATGTGTTGACAGTTCAATCAGCAGGATGACCCGTTGGGACGGAGGGTTATGATCCGGTGGCCGGGTTTCCCTTCGGTTGTTTTCTTTTGTTTACCTTCGGAGGTTTTCTATGAGTACCCTGAACACTTTGGTTTGTCAGAGCATTCGTAATGATGTACAGAATCAGGGAGGGTGTTCGTGGGTTGGATTATGCCATCCTCCTGCGGTGGTAGTACTTACGTGTGATTTTGAGCTATGTCAGTGCGCAAGTACGTGGCCGTCCAACGGCCATTTGGATCTTCGGGGTATCTCCGGTAGTGATATCTTTGGCAAGTTGTCACGCGTTCCGTGCTGTCATGTGTTCCGAGTTCCGAATGCGTCTTGCGACTGTTGCTCGCGTGCCTCGGTGTGTGTGATGCACCCTAGTGCCCACTCTCTTCCATTGCTTGTGTCTACGAGGACTACCAATCAAACGACTTTACCATCTCTTCACATTGTCAACCGGGAAACCGTGCTTATCCAGCAGCACTCGGCTTGGGGCCAATCAACATTGGGTGTGGTGTTTGTTTGGTGTGTGGTGGCCGGTTGCTCGGTCATTGTCGCCTTAGGCCTTTCTCGGAACCCATGGGAAGATATTTAAACCAGTGTGGGTTTGATGCGTGATGGTTTCGGGGGCGAAAGCCCGTTGCCCAAGTCTTGGGGTCGGAATCCTGCAGTCAAGAGACGCCCCAGAAGAAGACGGACACGTCTTTGGTCCTGCGTGTTAATGGTTTGGCGATCTTTTGCTGTCTTGTACGCTAACTGTAGTAGAGCCGAAATGATAGGGAACGTCCGGCCTGATTCGGAGCTCGCCACCAGTTATGAATGGTGTGTATTGATTATTAGCATCAACCGCGCTAACCGGCTGACCAATGAAAATACGTCAGTCTCAGTCCGGTTGCACACTTGTATATGCCATGAACTGGGACCCCTTGAGGGGGCAGCATGGGGGAGGCTAAACTATCCTTCGGATCAAAGACAGAAAAAGCAGCAACTGAAGAAGAAAACTGCACGCGTCTACCAAGGCTATTACCTTGTACTCAAGTTCGGTTAGGAGTAATTTCACCACTATCCTCCTCGTTTTCGCTACGATCATTCTGATCCTCATTTTGTGTGCGTACCTTTTTTTTTGCTCACATTTTCCCGTGCCGGCCCGTGGTGCTTGCGTTAGTTTTTATCACCGAATAATGACCTGAGCTTACTGCACTTCGTGAGGTACAGTAGCTTGTTAGTATTCTCGATCCTGACAGCGGGGAAAAGGCAGCACGCGTGCGAGTGGTGGTGGTTGGTACTGTGCGTGGTACTACAGCTCATGTTCGTTGTTTCTGGTACTGTATACAGAACGCACCAACACTATAAGATAGATACTTATCTTTATGGGGACAGAATGTTCGGTGTAAATATTGTAGGCCAAGATTCGCCTACTTTGCGTTTTTGTGGCCGCAAAATCTTCCGTCAGATCTCGGCAAGATTTGCCGGGGAAAACAAAGGTTCAGTGCAAAAGTTGCCCTTTCGGGCAAATCTTTTACCTTGACCCCAGACTTGTCAATTCGAGCTTTGTTATAAATCTTGGCGCGGGTGATAAATCATGGGTGCGACCAGATTTCTACAGGTCAGTCAACCTTATCTTCAGTAACGCTATGAAGCTTGCATTGTGGCACATTGGTAAAGACCTCCACCGCACCTTGGCTTCACTGTGTCGACGCCACGAGCGCCAACAGCAGAGAAAAACGATCTACTACACTAACTTCCGGTGTGCCGGCAACCTCTGTCCACAATCAGGTCTCCTATTTTGGCATGCACGAGCGGGCTCGGCATCACCGTGCGCTACATAGTTACAATTTACGGTTTGGTGCTGGGGCGAAACTTGGAAATCTTGAACCTCATCGGCTTCCCAGCGCTGTTGATTGCCGAGATAGCGGTGATTCTGACGGCATTGCGGCTGTTTGTCATGTACTACCCCAGCACAAGAGCCAAGTACGGAAGAGTGACCAGAGAAAAGCCATGGGCCTGCGGATTAGCAGCCACCTACCTTTTGGTGGAAATGGTGGTGTGGCTGGCAGCTGCAATGCAGGGGACCAAGAGGTGAGGAAATGACAGTGAAACATGGTGGGCTACAAGGGTTCGAAGTTTCGCATCGGGCGAGCCCCCCTCAACTGCTGTATTGGACACGTGTGACTGCTGCTACTTTGCGTGTGCGTGTGCGTGTGCGTGGGAGAGAGGAGAGAAGTTGAGTGATAGAGAGACAGATACATAATAGAGACTACACAAGGCCTCCCTTCGGAACGTGGGTATCAAGCCTCCTGCGGGTGACGCAAGACCAACATTCATGCGCTTTGCCCAAAGAAGGGGCCTTGTGTCGTATTTTGATGGAAAGTTTTGTAACGCTGATATTCCGTACAATACATCGCGCACGTAGTTATTCTACATTGATCGGAGCCAGCTAGAGCGGGCAAGAAGTTGCCAGCGAAAAATAATCAGCTTCTTCGTGATGCCTTGTGATTGATCATGGCAGATTTCCATGAACACCTAATTAGATTTCGAAACAACACCAACAAAACATGTTCAACACTGCGGGTGCATGCGGTAAACGTTTGCACAGCGGCAAGCAGCGTTTCACTTGGCCCGCTGCAAAGTGTAGAAGAGCAAACGTTGGTACTGTTGGACATTTACTGTGTGGAACCAACAAATGAATGAATGAATGAATGTAGAAATGAACGCGGAATATGCACGTGTCTCAACTGTCATTTTTGATGGGTTTCAGAATTGGTTCGCCAGGCGTCGTCTGTGCGGAACGCGCCCCCGGGATGTAGAGCCAGTTTTCGCAACCTTGACCGTTATTCACACGCGCCACGGAGGCCTACCGAGCTCCGGGTACGAGCGCTAATGTACTTCGTGCGTGCCCCTGAGAAGGAATCGCCAGAAAAGACTCGTTGCCGCGAGAGGAAGCAATGCCGAAGCATGAAAAGCGACCAAACATAGTCTAAAATGTATGCACATGATTGTGGAGAGATAAAGAGAGTGATACAGACAGACAGACAGACAGACCGATAGAAAGACAGACAGACAGACAGACAGACTCAGGCAAGATGACGAAATATAATTTTTCTTTCCTTGCACGTTTGTGAAAAATGTGTATGTATTTTCTAACGTCGAACGCCGACTCCGCCGCTGAAATAATCTCGCAGAGTTGCTGTCGTCATGACGAACCTGGCCCCGCTCTCGGCGTTCGTCACTCTCATGGCGGTGGTATGCCTCGGCCGCCAGTTGAAGCGGATCCACGACCTCAGCAACATGGGCCGGGATATTCGCCTGGTTGGGATAATTCTGCTAATATGTTTACGTGAGTGATGGCATTGACAACGTCAAGTGAACGTATACGTCTAATTCCTTTTGCCTGAATTATCGTGGTGGTTCTTGCGTTGGGGAGTACTGCCCGAAGCACCGGTGTTGTCTTTTTGGTAGTCCGACGCACTTGTGAGCATGAGCCACCGCCGAAAGTACTTGCCCTACATCGGGACTGCTTCGTGCGATTATTCGGTGGGTCATGCCCGCTTTCACCAAAATGACTGGACGTACCGCCTCCTTGTAGTTGCCTCCTGAAAGTACGCGAATCAATGGTTCAACTTCAAGTCCTTCCTTGGCAGAATTCGTCTGTGACACCACGGAAAGCGTGGCAAAGTTTGCCCACGGTTGCTAGGAAGCTACAAGGACAGAAAACTGAACCTTTTCAACGAGTATAGTCAATACAACAGCACCATCAACGCCATCACCATCACCACCACCAACAACAACACCACCACCACCACCTCCAACAACAACAACTTGTCGAGAGGAGGCAACGCCGAATAACGTCGCAATTTCACACGATAGACGACTTCCTTCGCCGCACCGAAAATTCCTGACGAAGTTAGCTGACACCTGCCACCCCACTCGATCGATATTGATGCCCCCCCATGACCGTTGCTTGCGTGGCGCCTGTTGCTCGCTTGCCGCTTCCCAGCCGTGTTCACGGCGATCCGGGTGCTGTGGGGCTCTATCCTGGCGTTTAAGTACTTCTTCGTCATTTTCATTACCATATCGCACCCGCCCATCGTCTGGATTTTGTGAGTCCTACCCCCGCCCCCCCTGTTTCGTGGTCGTTGCGAACCTGTCCGTGCTCTGGGATATAACCCCCCCTCCCTTCCGTGGTGGTGCCAACCCGGCGCTGTAGCTCTATACTTCGGGGATTATTTGCTGTGGCTGTGCCCGGCCACCTTCCGCGGTGTTGAGACAAGGGGGGCTATGTAGGCCCTGCTCACGGTGCACGGGCCTACGCAAGCACTTGGTTGCTGGGCAAGGCGGATGAGCTATGAAGTATGACGGCGTCCTTCTAGAAGAGTTCATGCTAGTCTCTGGAAAACACGGAGCGCACACACGTCTGCCGTGTGGCCGGCAGTCGTCGCGATTTTCATCATGCCGTCAATCACCGTCCTTTGACAAGGGTCTATCTGAGCGGCGACGTGCACATCTGCCTCCTTCTCCTTCGTTGTGGGCTTGTGCAGGAACATCAGACCCATCCAAGAGGTCCTGCATCACGCCCCAAGAAATAGCATTCCCAAAGGTGTACAGGTGCTGCTGGCGTTATCGTCGAGGAGGAGGGGGGGGATCACTTCAACTATCGTCGGCGAGGCCGTTACCCCGGATGTTTCGCAGAATCCGAGTCGACACAGCCGCGAATCTTACGTCGAATCGAACAGGCTCGCCGGCATCATGAACTACCTTCCGCTGAGAGAAGCGTTCGGAGAGTTCTGCCAGAAATCACTCTGCAGCGAGGTCAGTCGATGTGTGGTGTGTGCACAAGCCGTGGAGTCATTGGCTAAATACTCGTTGCTCACAATTTCTAGCTGCCCTACGGCCTCGCCTCTCCTTCAACTTCAGACCTCCTAGAAAACGGGCCACGCGGAATACTTCATTCCTTTGCGGTGCCTGCATTCATTTCCCTTTGCGAGACCGGCTTATCCGTCCTTCCGCCACGTGCGCTCACGAACAAGTCGTCTCTGCTACAAATAATGCTGGCATGGAGCACGGACAGGCACACAACCGGCCATGCTCCAAGTACTTGTTCGTTCTGGCTCTCTACGGTTGGGGTCGCAGCAAGCGTGGCAGTAGGTGTTTTGGTTGGCGTACGAGGCGGCGTTCCGAAGGTATCGAGGTAGCTGGTGTCCGCTGCATGCACATCACACGAGAGAGTGACAGGCGCGTGTGCTGCAGACACTTACAGCAGGGGGCCTCCCTTTCCGAGTACTTTCTCTCGCAACGGCGGGGGCTTTGGGCTGTGTAATACACTATTCAGTCTATCTCCCCTCTTCTCACCTCCCGCTACTGTAAACAGGAGAACAATCGACTGCTTGTTACGCCCCCTTGTATACTCTCCTTGTTGCCGTCTGCCCTTCGATCGCCCCCTGATATCGATCGGTTTTCTGATCACATCATGCCTGTACGTCTGTGCGAATAATCTCATTCGTAGTCTTTCCAGTTTCTCCTGGATGCTTCGGAGTTCAGAGGCGTGATCGTCGAAGGCCCCGTCGACGGCGATGCCAACGGCAGCGCCGAAGAGGAGAACGAGGCACCAACACACACGAGCGGGTTGGGGGACGTGGCGACCATGGTGAACGAGTACATCAAGGACGGTGCTCCCTCGGAGATCAACATCGGCAGCGACACCAAGCGCGACATCATGGAGCTGGCCAAGGTCGAAGCCTTCGCCTCGCTTGACCAGGTGAGAAGTAAATCGAAGGAGGTTCGAAGCTTTCGCTTCGCTTGACTAGGTACGATGCAAACAGAAAGGAGAATCCCGAACTGGCGTGCCTAGAGGAACGTCTCCGGCGTGCTCGGTTTTTCCGTTTCCATCTCTAAAGCACCGTCGGTGACATTGGACATCACACTCCGGGATCGATTTTTCAAATATCGATGCATAACTCCACCACGCCGAGGACACGTAATCAAAATATTGATAATCGGAAAGCTCCCGACGAGCCGGCTCCGACACCGCCATTGTCGGCACCGCCATGCTTATGCTACACACGGACCTCCCCCCTTCGTCCTCCATGACCGAAATGTAGTGTATTTCTGCTGGAATTTGGTGAAGCAGTTTTTGATGGCCCTGCTCTTGTTACAACAACTTTAGAGATAGGCTTACGCTGCCCACCTTCTTGGCTGAGAATACATTGTGCGCAGACCGGTTCCTCGGGGCTGGGGATCAGTGTGGACTGGCTTACCCTTGATCTGCCCTTCATTTTTGGTGATCTCCTTCTCACCTACGGTAGCTGAGAAGTCGTATGGCCATTTGTTGGAGAAATCCAGGTAGTTAAAGATGGTCAAAGCTTCTCTTCCAGAGCAGCGATTGACACGCGGACGGAATAAGACCGTTCGGACAGAGAGACAGAAACGGACGAAGCATGCGATAGACATGGTAACGAGACAATATCCACTCCTACGGCGCTTTCATTGTATTTTCCATATGGAGTTGAGCTGAAACTCCGGGTTTCACAGCACCTGTAATAATGTCTCGTGAACAGACACTAGGGGAAGTTCCCTCGTCGTAGATGCGGCATTCCTGCCGCCTCTTCGACACCTCCAGAGGGCAAACAAGGAAGTATCTGCCGCTTCCGCACCCTTACTCCTAGCGCCGCGACCAGTACGAACACGATTTCGTAACCAAAAAACGGCCAATCAGTATGTTGTGCAGATTCTGCGCGAAGCCGCCGATCACTTTCGTTGTTGTTCTTTCGTCCTTCCCGTGTACAGGATGCGCGACTGCTGATTTTCGTCCAGGCCGAGAGGGAGATCAGGAGGATCCTGGAAGACAATCTCATGGCTAGGTTCCTGGCGTCCGCACAATACAAACGGGCTGTGGACGGTGACGGCCATGGACGCGTGTAAGCCCCACACGGGGAGAGTAGACTACTGTCGGCACGCACGCAGCCGCTAGCATCAACATCGTGTTGAACGATTGCATTGGTTGAAAAAATGAACTAGCGCGTACAACATGTTTACCAGCAAGGGGAAATCAACCACGAAAACTTATCCTTGAGGCACCGGAATCTATTTTTGAGGCGACCGTAATGTTGCTACGAAAGGTCGTGACCTCAACGTTGAGATTGTTCAAGCGACAAGGGATACCTCTGGCATTTCACACCGAAGGCCATGCACTCGAAGGCCAGGCAAACGAGTGGTTCTTGATCTTCAGACTTCCACCCGTTATGACCTTTATTTTCGGGTGCCTCTTCCCCCTATGCCCTCTTGCAAGGCCAAGCATTGATTAACGATTGTTTCGTGGTCACCACGATGTCGCCCCGGGATGTTCCACGGAAGCGAGATTGGTCTCGACCTTCTTGTCGTCGTTGCCCGCTGGCAGAAGTGAAACTCCTGTGGACGTTTTCCCCCGGGATCGAAACAAGAGAAGCAGCAACCCCCCGTTCTCCAGTTTTGACCTGGTGGCGTTTTCCTTCTTCCCGTTGCAACACAAGCCATGGCTTGCTGTCCGCGCTGACGCAAATGTTGGCTGGCGCTTTCAATGGGCGGACGTTTCCCGGTATACTTCACTCGCACAAATGGCGGAGTCCTAGTGTAGGTGTTTGAATGGAATGAAGGCAAAATAGCCACCGCAGTGGGGAGCTACCCACCTGTCGGTGGACTGGTATCTAGCTACTACGTATAGACTAGACAGGCCGAAGAAAGAGGGAAGCCTCGAATTTTGCCCTCCCACTGTATCTAGATCCCTTAGAGACGCGCCAAAGACGTCGATCTGAACGCCTGCCTCCTCGGGAGCTACATGTGCATAGACTACGCATATTCTTGTCTGTAAATGATGATACCAAAGGATCTGTTTCGCACTACAAAAGCAGCTAAACACCAGATCAACGGGGGCGGCGGCGGACACTCTTGATGTCCTGACCGTGACAGTTCGGGATCCACAAAGACTACAATCAACAACATATTCGCCTGATTGAGAGCGTAGCATCTGATTGAGAGCGAGAGCCAAAAAAAATGAAATTTCGGGTCCAGACGCCTCTTGCCATTTCTTGGCAAGTAGGGGACGGGCTGTTCCAAGAAGCGGTGCAAATTGAAGGTCTCATCAGCAGCTTCGCGAGCATATGCGTGTCATCGTCATCGGATGCTGCAGCGAGGAGCTAGACAAGTTGCTAGATTTGCCCAGATTGGCTATTTCTGCTCAAACTGTTTCAGGGCGGTATCGCGTCGGGCGGTGGGCTCTGCTGTAGCTTCTGCTCCCCGCTGTAGCTCCACAACGAGAGACTCCCACAGGATGACCAGGGTAGCGGCTTGAAGCTACGGGCTAGCCCTTCAATTCAAGCTACACAGCAAGCTCCACCTCTCAGTGGTAGTCCGGCTACAGCGTATCGCGCAATCTCGCTCTCAATCAGATGCTACGCTCTCAATCAGGCGAATATGTTGTTAATCGTGAATACATCGTTGTCCAAATTACAATAAAATTGCATACTGCAAACACGATATACCTGCGAAAGCGCTGCTGTACCGTATGCACACAGACACCACAAGTAGGTGAGGTAGCAACCCAAGGGCGCAGAAGGGGGGTGCAAAATTGCCAACCACTTCTTAGTTGCTTGTCCGTCGCCGGCCGTCGCCCGGGCCACGCAGCATTTGCTTTTTCTCCTGTATGCCTGTGTACGCAACGGGCTCAAGTCCGAGACAACTCCTGGGTAGACATGTCTGTAAACAACTCGTTACAGTACTCTCTTTTCGTCCCGGGCTGAGATGCGGGCGGCGGTGGGGGTTGGGTGGGCGAGTCGAAGAGCAAAGGCAACAACGCAACGTTGTGAAATGACAAGCATTGTAGTCAACACTAAATTGCCTGCTTGTCAACACCTTTCAGAATGATTGCTGCCCTGTTTTCTTTCTGCTTCGTCGTTAATTTGTGTTCGCGCGTGCCTTGCTTGCGCGCCTCACTGGGCGTGTCTCTCTCCTCTGCAGATTGCTACTGATGTTCGTGGTGTTTGAATTCCCCCTACAACTGTACACGTGTCAGTACATAACAGTACATCGGGTTCTAAGGAACACTCCCGACACTTCTTGCTGTTGGGTCGGAGGGGGCTGAAAGAAGCTGTGCGGAAGATCTGCCTCGACGGACGCAAGGTGCCCTGGGACCCAGACAAGGGCCCGGGGGACAGCTGGCTTGAGGGGTTCATGGCGAGGCTCCCGGGGTTGTCGGAGCGAGCCACCCATATGTACGAAGCAAACCGGATCAATGAAGACGACGAGCCTCGCCGTGAAGCCTTCTACGAGACATGGGAAGCGTACCTCGCGGAGACCAAGCTTACGCCGGACCACATCATCAACACGGACGAGACAAGCGAGTTAGGGCAAGGGTTGAGGTGTCAGTGGTGTCAGCATCGACCGCTGTGGGTTCGTAGGCGAAGTACCAGCAGCACTGCGATGTGTGATGTGTCTCACGACAAAGCGGAGTTTTGCTGCTTGTTGTTGTTGTTGTTGTCTTCACATTAAAAACCATCCCGGTCTCTCTATCCAGTACCTCCTTCTGTCTCAATCTCTCCGTACTAATCCATCACTTGACTCGGCCAATTTCCGTGGTCACAGGCTAACGTACCTAGAAAAGGTATAC